CTGTTGATAGCTCTGACAATTTACACCAATATAATTACATTTTATTAATGCACTAGATAGAGTCACTTATGAAATATTACTTTGTAATTGTCTCGATAGATTGACTGGGATAAAAACACCCTGAATTGTAAACAAAGGGTAATGATAAATGTTAATGTATCAGATTGGTGCTTAGTGGCTTACTGCTGAGACTGGCTCTTCATTCAGGCTTATTTACCATCTTATTTAATGATCTGAATAGATGGGTAAACAGAGTATTAAAAGAAATCCCAAGGGTGAGCTGTACTGGGACAAGGTGAGCACAGTGGAGGCAAAAAACTGATGAGAGGATCTTAAGTGAAAGGATGGTTTGGGGTTAATGGAGTGGAGCAGGGTTCAGTTTTCTGATTATACCATGTTCAATGTGCCTCTGCCCAGGCTTTCATCTCTGCCGATTGATTTGAGACTCATACAGATGCTTTGGAGCTAAAAAATTATTAAATCTGAGGTTGCCACAATATATGACCAGTTTGGGTCTGTTTATGCAGAAACATCTCTTTGCAAAGTGAGGAATCCAGCAAATGCTCTACATGCCTGTGGGGTGACAGGAGCTGCAACACTGAGTGGGATGCAGTGTATCTTCCTAGGAGTGACTGGAAAATTCAGAGAAGAATGGCAGAAGTAACTGGGAGGATGGAGGAGTTTGGTGACATACACACAAGCCCACAAATATAGATGTGTATGTAAGAGTGAGAGAAAGTAAAACGAACTAATTTGGCATTGTCAACAAACATTTGCAGGATGTCACAAACCTGTGTTTCATAACATATGTACTGAAAGCCATCACTGTGAGGCTTGTTTTGGTCCATGGCTTTGTGAAATCATAGCCTTAGCAAGTCCAAAAACCTGCACTGAAGTTGTGTCTTTACTGTTTTTAATCCAGACTGTAATACTGAATTTTGCATGGGAGAAAAATAATCCTGAAATGATAAGGAAGACTTGTTAATTAAAATTTTGTATTTCAATCCTCTAAACCCACAAATCTTTGGGGACTTCCAGAAAACCAGGATGCATTGGTGAAGAGGTATAACTATTCAGAGGGGGTGGGTTATGAAAACAAAATAGAAATTATCTGAAATAACTTAGAAAATAGTATTTTCAGAATGCATATTATAAAATAACACCAGTGAGAAAGAGAGAATTCTCTCAGAGGCAATCCCACCCCATGAAGCCTGACTACTGGGAATTCACTTAACAATTCCTTCATTGGACTTTAGTCCAGAGATATAAATGACTCAGAATTTTACTTCCAGGTTCCGGACAATGAAATGACATAGAAAACACTGACACAGTTTTTTAGTCCTTGTATTACAGCTGTGGCCAAGAAAAATCTCAAAAAGTCTAATTCTCTCAGGGATCCAAGACTGTTGCTTTCTCAAGTGTTACTTTATCATAAACATATTCTAATTCTTTATCTATGAGCTGTTAATAATTTTATCATACTGTAATTTATTAGGATTATAATGTAAAACTTCTATAAACATACATGTGATATAAACATACATGTGATATAACACTCAATTATTATTAATATAAGTAACAATGCTTTTCATTGAAAAATCATATTTGTACTTTCTGCTGTATAACCAGATTATATTTCTTTAAACTAAGAATACCTTGTTGAGTGTCCAACTGAGATGTTTTTTTTTCCAAGGCTTTCAAGAGAAAAAAATGGGAAGAGAAAAAAATGCATTAATTTTACAAAGTTACATCTTTACTAAGGTTTTTTGATTGATTGTTTTCATGCACTAAGTCATGAATTTTGGATAGTCTTTTTGGGTTTTCCACGAAAATTTTTCCAGGTTTCTGCAAGTTATAAGGCCTAGAGATTGAGACAGCACATCTGTGTTTACTGTACTGTGCAAACCTCCATGTGCTGATATTAATCATAGAAACATAAAATGGTTTGGTTTGGAAGGGACCTTAAAGATCATGCATCTCCAGCTCCCCTGCCATGGGCAGGGACACTTTCCACTAGACCAGGTTGCTCAGAGCGAGCCCCATTCAACATGGTCTTGAATGACTCTGGGGCTTTGATAGAGCAAATCAGTGCCTCCATCATGGAGCTCAAAGTCCTGAGCTGCATTTGTCTAGTAATTCCTTCTCCTGGCTGCCAGCTTTGCTGTGGCACTGCACCCCAGTCCTTCTAGGACAAAGGGCAACTCTTTCATCCTTTGAAAAAAGGTTGGAATGGGTTTGGGCATATAAGGGAAAAAGCCTCTCTCCCAATCCAAGTTCACAGATGTGAATTGTGAGAGAAAGCAGTTGTTTCTCTGAATGCTAGCACAGGTTGTTTAATACTTAGGACAGGGATGGAAAGGATTCTCCATCCCCACTTCTCCTAGTCTGAGCAGCAACTCCGAGAATTCCATATTTAATCATACATCCTTCTTGGTGCCTGTGTATAGAAAAGGGGCCCTGTATATACTCAGGGCATATAGATATGCAGTACTCACCCTAGGATATCTATCTATCTATCTATCTATCTATCTATCTATCTATCTATCTATCTATCTATCTATCTATCTATCTATCTATCTATCTATCTTCAATACAGATTACTATAGAACTAAGGAAATTAAACAGTCCCAGTGAATGATGGTAGAATATGTAGTAGCCATAAGCACATTTTCATAAAAAGGCTTATAAATGTGACAGAACCACCTTTAATAAATGAAACTAATTTATTTTTATCTTTCCTGGTAGACAGACAGCCTGAAATAATATTTGCAGCATTTCTCTATTTAACTCTAGAGAGTTTTCCCATTATGTGCTCATCAGGTAGGCTCACTGAGTTTACCAGGACTCAGGAGGTGCCTGGAGAATTGGGTTGAGAAAGCTGGGGCTGTTCAGCCTGGAGGAGGGGAGGTTGCGTGGAGACCTCATAGCAACCTTCCAGTATGTGAAAGGGACCTACAGGGAAGCTGGAGAGGAACTCTTCATCAGGAATTGTAGTGATAGGACAAGGAATAATGGGTACAAACCGAAAGAGGGGAAACTTAGGCTAGATATTAGGAAGATTTTTTTTACTGTGAGAGGGGTGAGACACTAAAACTGGACACTCACCAGGGAGGTTGTGGATGCCCCAGCACTGGCAGAGTTCAAAGCCAGGTTGGATAAAGCCTTGAGCAACCTGGTCTAGTGGGAGGTGTCCCTGCCCATGGCAGGGGGGCTTGGGAATAGATGATCTTTAAACTAATCCATTCCAACCCATTAACATTCTCTGATTCTGTGGTTCTATGATTCATTGTTGATAGAAATCCAAACCCTAAATGAGGTGCTGTATAGTGATATCCAGATGAGAGGAATGTGATCTTTATTAGACACCATCTCCACTTAAAATTTGCTACAGACAGGCAGGATGAGTAGAGTTGCTGGCAAGAAGTATTTGTTCATTTGATCTAAAGCAGATGTTACTAATTATCAGAAGAAGGCCTGCGTTGCATGCTAAACAAAGTCAGTAATACTTAGTAAAGGGCCTTGATAAAGGTACATGTGAGAGTTGATAGACATGTATTACTTACTTCTGTCATGTTACCCAACTGTTTCACTGCAGTTTTTATTGCAGAGGCTTTCTAGGCTCAATAAATTAGTGGGGTCAAGTCATACTTAGTTACTGCACCACAGGGTTTAAGGTTGCGTAGCATAAAGTGCCACATACATAGGACAAGCTGTAATTTCAGGAAAAACAAAGAGTCTAGGAAAAAAAACCCAAAGAAAATAGGAAAAAAAAAAAGAGGTTCCTTAAGTATCTACATACAAGGGGACTCAGTTGAAGTCACTGTCATGTTTTATTTGAACAACCACAACATACTTTCTTTGTGTCATTGCTGCTGTTTTGAGTCACTTCTTTCCCCCCTGTAGGCTGAATTAATGGAGAATGTAATTAGATCCATCCTGTGGACAATTCACAAATCATTGTCCTTAATGCAGATGGTCCAGTCTTCCTCTTTAGTGCTCCAAAGGTCTCTGTATGGTGATGCACACTGTTTAGTTATTGACACTCAGTTTTTCAAAGCAGATGTTTTACACGTTTTCAGGGATGTGGTTTTCTGAATACAAATTAGTTGAAGTGGCAACGGAAATGGAAATCAGTGGCATTTGTAATTCAAATGAAAACATTCACATTTACCAATTGCTCTGTTTCTGGAGCGCTAATATAATGTTAACTATTTTTCTTATCTGATTACATTCCAGCATACATTTCTTTTTCCCATTAAGAGCCAGTAACTTGGTCTCTAAGCTGTGGAAAAATTAAACACCAATTAGAGGAATTAGAAAACCACTAATTTTGTCTGCTGAGTCTGGTTCTGCATTCCCTTTAGATGTGCAACTTCCATGGAGGTCAACAGAAGGTCTATGTGCAACTGTGCATTAGGATCAAGCCATAAAAGAAAATTAGATCAAGGTTTTATTAATAATTGACTTTTCCTTTTTTTTTTTTTTTTGTAGATGAATTAAATAATTGAAAAAATTCATCACAGGTCTATCAGAAGTAAATTTTCTTCACAAAAAGATGAGCCTGTTTTTGAAAAAAAAATTTACAAAAGTCTACTTTTACCTTAAACAAGATTGTTTCATTTAATTTGTACAGCCATCCTTTGGATACTTCTTTTTAAAAAAGATATTTATGAATCACTTTTAAGTATAGTTAAAAACAATCTGATAACAATCCTTGTTTCAAAAATGTTGTAATAAGACATTTCAACTAATAATGGTGTTTATTTAATTCAAATTATTTTGACAGTGAACGTCATGCTTGTAGTGTTACTCTTTTCCTGCCTCTCTCAGGTGCAATATGCAGAGACAAAAATTGGTGCATTAATACTCCTGCAAAACATCTTTTGGATCAGAGAGCAGGCAAAGTGGTAGCGTATGGCAGGCTGGGTAGGTGTCCCATCTCAGGAACCAGAGTGCTGGCACAGGAAAAATCCACTTCTGTACTGAGGGCTTGGAGTTACTTTAAGGTCAATGATGTTCAGGGCTCCAGGAATGGTGGTGGTCTCCTTTACAGCCTTGGAACCATCACTTTCCTCAGTTTGTCCCAGAAGAAGTGTATGAACTATCACAGGTCCTGCTTTCATTGGGACTTTAAAGCATTGTGAAGTAAGAATATTAAGGATAACCATAGAAACTGCTTAAATCATAGTAGGATTCATATTATGATTTACACTGAACTAGACTTTACTAAGTGGAAATGTAAACATTAAGTGTTACAACCTATAGCAGGGGACAAGCTTTGTACTTCTACATTAATTTCTTCTCTCCTTTTTCAGCATTGGTCTCAGATTAACTCATATCATGGAATTGTAGAAACATTAAATTAGAAGGGAGATATGGAGAGCTCAATTAGTCCAATCCCCTGCTCAGTACAAGGACATTTCAAAGCCAGAGAAGACTGTCCAGAGGCTTCCCCAGATGAGTTTTGATTATCTCCAGGGATAGTGTTTCCATAGTTTCTGTAATATGTGCCTATAATTTAATGGCTGATATATGTACCAACACAATAGAAAGAATTGAAAACATGTGTCTGCAGGGATGGATATGGATAGCTATGAACTTTTTCTGCTGATGCTCTGAGCTAGATGAACAAGAGGAGGTCTGTTCTAGAGGTAATACAGATTTTAGGCTGGGATAGCACTACACTGACACAGGCTGTGGCCCCTACACCAGGCACTGTCTGAGTCCTGGAATCCTTGGGTCACCCTGCATCCTGCATCCTTGTGTCACTCCACCCAACCGTGTGGACTAACACAGCTCTGGTGAGGGTTGGTGAGGGGGGAATAGCTGGGTTGCTTCGAGCCTAATTTCTTTACAATTTTAATTTTGAAAAAAAAGAATAGACTAGAACAACTGCAAATCCTGTGATCCTTGGGAATTATGTAGGGCAAAGTTGGACCCTCACTTCTGTACTCTGCCTTGCTCTCATTCTCCTTTTATTTCTTTCTTCACTATGCCACAGTCCTCATGGTAGCAGACAAGTCCAGTTTAACAGAAGTCAGTATCTTCAGATACAAATGAAGTCTGTTTTTCCAAGTTGCTTTTTTATGCCTTAGCTATAAAGAAAACACAACAAAATGGAAAAAGAAAAATATAACCTCCTTTTTTTTTTTCCAGGCAAGAGAGAGGCCAGATAACTACTTTAGGTGGCCATAAAGCTGTCCTAAGGCATTTAAAACTGGTCACTATGCAAACATTCACAGGAGTTACACTGCCTCACAGCAGCTCCTGCAGCATCCTGGCTTCTGAGGAGAGGGGGAAGCAGTGGATGGCACATGCTGGCCGTGGACACCTGAAGATGCCAGTCCAGTCCCTGAGGGTGTCTGGAAGGGATGTAGGTGGAAACAGATGAGAAACAGATCCTGCTTGCTCAAATCCCACTCAGAGTTCATGGATCCTAGTGTTTCTGAAGGGAGAGTCCACCCGCCTGCTATTTCTTGTCTGCAGAGATGGCTGTTTCTCCATTATCTCTGGCACATTTCCTGCAGCAGCTGAATACAGGGGCAGAGAAGATACCATGCTCCCCAAACATTTAATCATATCCGTTTTCCTAATTACCCTTCCACTTATCTATTTTGCATGGCGGGTTTCTAGTTGTAAATAGGAAGTAACTGGGGGGTGGTTTGCCTCAAAGAAAAATTTTTTCTATTTTTTTCCCTCTTCTCTGTCTGCAACCAGTTTTTTGAGATAGAATTAAACTGCATTTGCACCTCTTCTGCGGCTCTATCTAAGCATAATTTCCAACCCCTTTTCCTTGTTCTCTATTTATTTATTTGTATATCTATTTATTTATATATCCAGTTCTATTCTCATTAAAATGCCCTTGCTTTTTGCTTTTCACTTTTCCCTCTACTGGGATGTGTCTTTGGGGAAGAAAACCAAAGACCACCCCAGAAGACCATCTATAGGATTACTATAGAAGGACAACTACTCAGACAGACCAGGGCATGTGAGAGAGCAACAGTGGAGCTTTGCTGTTTTTGATAACCACTTTGAAAAAGTCCAGATCACAGAAGCCAGGAGTACTCTGTCTGTCTTGCTGGGTTTTTTTCACTTTCTCTCTGCAACCACCCTCTTATTACAAAATTATAATCATTTTCTGTAATGCAAAATCATGCAGAGCTATTTTTTTTCTGCTTTCTCTTCCCCTTCAACTGAAGCACTCTGATTCTAGTACCTAACTAATTGCTTTTGATCTTGCCAAAGTTCAAGTTACTGTATGTCATATTCTTCTTCATTGCAGCAGGCTAGGTTTCCACTTAATGAATACTGATGAGTTAGGCACTAGGAAGCACCTTTGGTGAAACAGCTTGCCTTGTTCTGAATTCTCAGCAAATCTAAGTAATTACAACCCTGTCAGTCCAATCTTATTTACCTTCAAAATGAGCTGCAATGTGTTTTAAATGTTTCTACATTTCTAAATGTTTCTACATTTCTAAAACTATTTACCTATAATATTTTTTCTGGAAGTTTTTTTGCTTGATTAGGTTTCTCATACATCTGCAGGGTCCCTTTAAAAAACATACATGTAGCTTGAGCTATTGAGGCCAGCTAAAGTGTCCATCAGTTAATTAACATTTTTATCTACCTGCAATAGTAGATTGCAGATTTTATGATATGGAAACCAGAAGAAATCTCTGCATCCTACATGAAAAAATACATATGTAAGAGGATGGCAGAGTCTTCTAGTCAGTAACATTTGACCCTACATGGTGACAACCACAGAAAAGCACTCAAAGACTGCACCTGGGCTGACAGGGGTGTGGTACAGGTGCAGTCATGAGAAGCATCAGAGGGTGTTGCTGTTATTGTGTGTATAATACATGCTAAAGGGACACTTCACTGGCTTTGCTCTTTTTAAACACACCTATGGCACTGTGAGGAGCTTATTTAGAGGGTTATGGGAGTCACAGAGCCCATCAAACACATGTGGTGTGGACTTGCCCAAGCTAGGATCCTTCTAGAGCATTTCTGCAACAACCAGGTCTGACCAGCCCATGCAAGAGCAGATGATGTGGGAGAATGTAGCAGTGCAGGAGGGAACCTGTGTACTGGATACCCATTCTGGCTGAGGATGAGATCACAGGATCTCACCACAACTGCTACAAAGCACAGACTTGCCCTTTGCTTGGCATTAGCAAAGTTGGCCCTTTCTTACAACAAACACCATGAAATCTGAAACACCTGGGTCTAACAAAATAGTCTGGCAAATCTAACCCAGCCTTTAACCCGCTGTTGGGATCAGACATTGGGATTACCCTTTTTCCCCACAAGCACTTGTTTTCATATTAATGGCTGAAATGGCAAAGTTGGACATTTCTTTGGGAATGTAACATAGGGCTGTAATTTAAAATAGTGTATTTGCAAGCTTCTCAAATGTAGAAAAATCAATAAGGAAAAATTATTCCTGCAGAGATACAGTGACATGTTTGCTCAGGAGTTAATTTCTGAATAAAACTAACCTCTTAAAGCATGAATGGAAACTGAAAACCATGAAGCAGCTACTGTTTTAAAGTAACTACTGAAAATATCTGTTACTCATTCTTCAGACTTCTCACTATAGAGATTAGGCATAGGCCTTTGGGGTTTCCAACAATGTTAAAATAACATGCAAAATTACTATGAGAATAGAGGCATTTCTCATTGAAAAGACCTCTCTGGACATGTAAGGAGCAGTTTTTGAGGAGTACTTAGTTCCATGTGTGCTGAAGCGTGCTACATAGCATAAGAGCTGGGGCACTGACAGGTGGCAGGACAGGAAACACCAACTCAGTGCCTCTAGATGAGGAGACCTGTCGGGTCACACCATTAGTGCTGTGTTTGGTGAAGCCAAACTTCCCTGTAAAGGTTGCTGCTTGCTGCTATGCACGTGTGCCAGGTTCCCTGTGCCATTGGTCACAGCTGCCCCCTGCCTTGCCTGTGACTCGGGGCAAGTAGGGGCTGCAGACCCAGGGTGGTGTTAGCAGGGTGCCCTGGGGCAGCTGCTCTGGCTCCTGCCCAGCAGCCCAGGCTACGCAGAGATGCATCATGATAACCAGGGAGAGCCTTTCTGTGATATCCCAGATGGAGTGCAGTTTATTGAGCAACCCTTTGGAGGCTTCAGGTGCAAGGAGACAGCAAAAGGAGCACTACAGCAAAGGAAGAAGTAGGCTCTCATACAGCCTGAGCAGAAAATGCTTTGCCAGAGGCAAAGGATTCAGGAGCAGAGCAGCAACAGCCAGAGCTGCAGCAGGAAGGGAGTATGTGATGGGTTGGGGGGGCGCTTTCCCATGTGTTACTTGCCCAGATAACTAATCTTGCTTTTCCCCTGCCATTACCTGTCCCATGGCAGGAGAAAAAGGGACAATGTGCCTAATCGGAGATGTTAGCCTCCCTTATCTTTTTGCTGCAGTATTGCCTATTTGTGTCTAATTCACCACCTCCTCTCACCAGAAGATGCTTTTCTGTCACTGCTACCACCTGTTTCTCTAGCCACCAGTGGTCCTTCTGCACTTTACTCCTGCCTCAGACACACTCATTTGCATACTTTTCAGGTGGCATCTTCTTTTGCTCCCTGCCACGCTTCTGTTCTTGCTGGGTGCCTTTGTATCACCATTCCTTTTTCCTGGCAGGTGTTTGCAGCTTGCAGTTTAATAAGTTTCATCTTCTGCATTCTGATGAAGCTGTTTGGAAAAAGGGGGGGTACCTTGGCAGAAAGCCCCCGGCACACAGCTCCCAGTGCTGGAATAGCATCCAGTGAGCTGGAGCAGGATTTGCCCTGAACAAACCACATGGGGAATCTCCAAGATAAATATGTCCTTTGCACTTATTTCTTACTTCTCAGCAACTGCTGAGCCCAGGCTCAAGATAAAGCCATGCAAATGATCTATGGGCTGTAACTAATATTCTAAGACAAATGACAAACTGATCCCTGTGCTGAAAGGGCAGTGAGGGTAGAATTTGTTAACTAACAGCTGTCTCTATCTTATATTTAACTAATAATACTTTATGAGAAACAAAAAAACAAACAAACAAAGAGACGTAACTGTATTTTAGGACCTTGTCTCTATGACCAAATCAGCATGCAGTATTAGGAGTGCAACTT